TATATATATATATATATATATATTCTTGAAATATATTTATCAGTGTTCAACTGGGGAGGACAATTTAAATGTATGCTTTTTTATTTCACATTTTCATCTTGTTTAGTTTTGTTTTTGTATTTTCTTTTTTTCCCTTTTTGGAGTTTGTATTTTAACATTTTGAGTAAAAAAATAAAAAACATTCATTGAAGTAAAATAAATGGAGAAAATCTTCATTGCAGTAAAAATGCATAGATTTTTTGCTGTGTAGGGTAAATCCATATTAAGAATTTGAAATCATGTTAGAATTATGTATATTATCTCATCAATATGCAATTTATTAATGCAATCATGTGAATCTATATAACCACCACTGTTTATGCACAATTTTATTTAACTCATGTTAATCACAATATATGTGTAATTTATGCTGTGTAGATTTGATTTTTGAACTGACTGAAAAGATAAAAAATGTTGGTACAGGTGTACATCTGTATAAATAAAAAATTATTATAAATACATAGAAGTACTTTATAATTTTAAATTCATGCTCTCTAGTGGGGAATACTTTCACTACAGATGTACTTAACCTGGAAAATATAAATGATAGCCTCTTGTGATGCTACTGGTATTATTTCATTTTATTTATTTAATGCTTGCTCTCCCATGTTCCTTTCCTTTAATTTTGTAAGCATTACTTTTTTTATATTTTATTAGCTATTAGTGGGAGGATCCCTGATCTTTCCCATGCAAAGGTGTTTCATTGCTCCCTAACCTTTTTATATTGTAAATTCTTGGAAGAAGAACTTCTTTTTACTGACTGTAAAGCTCTAGATAACATCATGTTGACTAACCCAAATCACATCATTTATATATAATTTTAGGAATACTCTGCTAAAATTACTATTTTACATATAGATTGTTTAAGTGGCTTCACTCAGGGAGTGTTCTATCAACTTAGCAATATATGTCTTGTCAACTTACCTTTCATATATTTTTCCAGAAAAATTGGTATCTTCTTGAAATATAATTGGATGTATCAGTATTTCATACTATTTTCAACACTAGGAGAGGATGAAAACTGTAGTAATAATTATTTTAGTGATAATAATAAGAGTAGTTTCTTGAAACTTCAGGGAGTGTCTCAGTTATTTCAGATGTTTATATTTTTGTAAGTAATGTCATGTCATTATGTTCTTAGCAGGTTAAAACTATCCTAGACAAATCTTTTATTGCTTGTCATAGTATTTTAAATAGTATTGCTTCTCATAGTATTTTAAATAGTATTGCTTCTCATAGTATTTTAAATGTTCAAAACTAATAGAAGTTCAGTTCAATACTTTATACTGATATGAAATAGCTTCTAAATTTACAGGAATTCATTAGCAGTTCAAGACTGAGACAGTCCATTTTTTAATTCGAGTTTAATTTTTTAAAATTACCACATTCTGACATTTTTATTTCTTGACAATATCAGAAGATGTGAAATTACAGCAGCATATGATTATGTTTTAAGAGCCTGACATGTTGCTTTAAGAATTTCTATTTGTTACAAGGCATTAAGTATGCTTTATATTTGTTTCTTGGATTCAGAATTTTTAAAATGTAATTATTTTAAATCTGAGGCATTTAATTGAGACAATTACTTTAAATTTGAGGCATGTTTATGATTTAAAATGATGGCAAATATCAGAATCAACTGTAACGAAGAAGCTAACTCTTAGTACATTATTTTGTGAAAAGTTTCAAATGTTATCAGTTTCAGTTTTGAACATTAATTTTAAAAAGGGGACTTACAAGCAAAATCAAGATAGGCTAGTTTGAGCAGGCTAGAAACTAGGAGAGTATAAATTTTAATCCTGCCATGGGCATGAGAACTCACTAGGTGACTTTGGGGGAAACCAAAACTTAAGAGATGAGCAAAGAAAGCAAGTCAGACATTTTCCAGATGGAAAATGTATAGAAGACATTTCAGATTACTCTGTAGCTAAAGGCATTCCATTTAGTTTTTTTCCTTACAATCTGTTCTTTTTTACACACTTGCATACTCCAAATATTCAATGAACCCAATTATATGATAATTCTCATTACTGCATGAGATGGTATGGAGTGGATTTAAATGCAGCCCTTCTGCTTTTTACAAGTTGACATTCAGGATGCATATCACTCATAGTTCTTTCTTATGTTTATTTTAGAAACAATGAAGAAGCCTGGGAGTCCGATTTCATTCCAAGACAATATATCCTATACTTCAGATTTAATGTATTTTCATGAAAGTGATGCAGAATTAACAACCAAAGATAGTGAGGAAGAGGAAGAAAGAGAGAAGAAACACACCAGTTTTACTTTATGCAATGTATGCAACATTCAACTGAATTCTGCTGCGCAGGCACAAATTCATTATCATGGGAAATCACACCAGAAAAGATTAAAACAGCTGAACAATGGAAACCCAAAAAACAGTTTTGGTGAGCTTTTAAGTATATTCTATTGTGTTTACATCTATAAGGTATAAGTTTGCTATAGTCTACTTTTGAGGAGAGAAGTAGCCTGATGTCTTGATTGATATTTTTGATAACTTATCAATGTAATACAATGTAATCTACCAAATTAGAAAAATTAGTTCTATTATAGGTAAATGATTAATATTACATTTTTTAGACAATAGAAATTAACATTTTTTTATTACAATAGAAGGAGCTTACGTAGTATTTTTTTTCACTGAATTTACATGGAGCTACAAAGTTTGGAAAGGGATTTGACAACTTTTTACCTTTTTAAATATGAACTACACCGCAACCATATAGTTGAAGTGAGATACTATTTCAAACTTGTCTAGAAGTTTAAGTTAACGTAAAACTTCATAGCTTCTACTAGTAAAAGAAATCAAATATTTTATTATTCTAAGATATAAACAGTATACAGTATTCAATGCAGACCCAAAGACTTGGGTAGCAAGATTTTAAGTCATAAAACCCAGGTAGAAGCATGCAAACCCTTTTTCTCTTCATACATCAACAGTGATATTTTCAGAGTGGAAGGTGAAGTTACAGGATGTGTGTGTGTGTGTGTGTGTGTGTGTGTGTGTGTATACAATATATTGAAATGTCCATTTCCAGCTCTGCTCAAGCTGATACCTTTAATAATACAGTATCTGTCCTCAGTGTGGAAGGGATTGCCACTCACGAATTGTCCTTTTTAGCTACACTGGATGCTGTTTTAGGCCCCTGGATTTCACTGGTTCTGGGATTACTTCTTTGCCTCAGCCTGCTGAACAAGTGTCTCTTCGAATTGAAGAAGGCCATGCTACATCTTTAGCCTCCTAGCTGAACAATCAGAGATAAAGATTTCTCACCTGTTGATGTCCATTCCCAAGGCCTTTAGATCCCTCTTGCAGATATCCTTATATCACAATGGTGGTTTCCCTCTAGGGCGCTTTCCAGGGGTGGGATTCAAATTTTTTAACAACCGGTTTTGTGGGCATGGCTCAGTTGGTGGGCATGGCTTGGTGGTCATGTTATTGGCTGGGTGTGGCCAACTCAATATCACTCACATCGAGGCATGCATCTCCTTGCCTGGCCTCTCAAGACTGTGGGGATGCTGCAACAGTTGTAAGTGTGAAAAATGCTCATGTCACTTTTTTCAATGCCATTGTAACTTTGAATATTTTTTATAAAAATGCAAAATAAAATTCACTATTAGATATTACTATCAACTTTTAATATTTTACCAGACCCATTTTTCCCCAACCTTGGACAATATTTACTTGTATTGGTTAGATAATTATAATTATAATAAGCAGCTAAAACTCACTGTAATACGTGGATATAATGTAAGATATGAGCAATAAGATATGAGCAATAAGATGTAAGATATAAGAAATAGAACAACCTGGTCAATATCTTGTAGTTCAATTAATCAAAATTTATCAGGAATATGCATGCATGTATGTATGCATGTATGTGTTGTGTATGAACAATAACATAGATTCCAATATTTTATTTTAGAACCAGAAATTATTCCAGAAAAAGAATAAGATAATATAGCAGGGACTCCAGAAGTAAATAGAGATATTCACCATGGACAGTGCTATTGAACATGTAAATAGGTTTGAAATGAACTGGGCTTGAAATTAAACTTATTATATGGGCATTGTATTGGATATACACATGAACAAAGAATTTTCAATTGAGAAAGAAAAGGAAAATTAGAGCAGAAAAACAGATATCTAGGTATTTGTACCATCTGCACAATATGGCTCTGCTGTACCCTTAGTAGAAAGCAAAAGCATTTTGAAAATCATTAGTAGAAAATAACATTATTATCATTGCAAAGGTCATGTTCTCCAGGCATAGAGAACTGCGGCAGCCATCATGAACTAATTATACTTAAGGAATTTCCATTTTAATGAATATTAGAGTACTGTGCAGATCAAGTTGCACAGAAGTATGCTTATAATTCTAGCAACCCATTTTTCTACTTATAAAAGCTAAATATAAAAGATAACGTAAAATAAATAAAGTTTTCTAAAATTAATATGGTTAAATTAATTAAATTTCAAACTGCAAAGTTATAGACCAGTGATGACTAACCTTTTCAACACCAAATGCCCAAAGCATACATGCACATCCCACAAATGCACCCTTTTGCCATGCATGCATGCATTCCCCCATGCCTCCTGTGCATGTGTACATGACCAACATGCATGTGCCCGGCCCTCGCATGCCTGTGCAATCCCTGGGTGTGCGCCCCATCCTTGTGTGCATGTGCGCGTGGCTCCCACATATGTGCCCTACCCCCATACCTGTGTGTTTGACCCCATGTGTGCACCCACCCCATGCGCACACAACTCCCGCGCATACCCTACCACCTGCACATGCGCGACAGAGACCCAAAGACTAGCAGGCCAGCAGGAAGCATGTGTATGCTCATGCATGGCAGAGCTGAGCTGAGGCGATGGCTTGTGTGCCCAGAGAGATGGCTCTGCATGATTATAGGCAATAGATAAGAAAATCCCTCCTCCCCGTGTATGTGTGTTGTGTGTGCTGTGTGTGTTGATTGTTTTGTTCAATGCCCACTACCCAAACAAGCTATGTAATATTTTGCTTTCTCATTTGCTAAATTATAATGTATGCAAAAAGCAGATAATTTTTATTCTTGGTTTTAAATGCATTGCATATGTCTCCAAAAGATACATCCCTGCCATTGTAAAATTTCTAATTATCAAATAATTAGAACAACCAGACTTAATATCTGAGCAAGAACTATCCCAAATATTCAGCTGTTTCAACTTTAAACTAAAGATCAGGCTCTCTTATGCAATGACCTTGAATATGACAATGCTCATATTTAAAAAAAAGAAAGTTGCATTCAGCATTTATTGTTTTTCATAATGCTACTTTGTAAGCACAGTTAATATTGCAAGTTTGCAGGGTAAGTGTATTTATCATTTTTCAAACAGAATAGTATTACACATTTTACAAAATTCAGTGAATATTTTTCAGGGTGACTTAAAAACTGCTGGCCCTGTTTTTGCTTCAGTTCCAGGAAACAACTCAGAAGGAATATTTCATTAAATTTGCTTCCCTGAGGTCATTTGGGAAATGGATAGGTGCTTTTATGTTAGAAACCAGGCATAAACTAAACTGTAGATTTCCAAAAATTGGGAAAAGTATACCATAAGCAAATGTTTTAAAAATTGAAATTTAAGAATAGTAGCACTTTTGAGTGATGTAAAAAATAAATCTGTAAGACAGATATGGCTCTTAAGGAAAATTTTTAAAAGTGCATATTTTAATGCCAAACATCTAGATAACATTTGGAAGTGGGTTAGACGTGCACCTTCCTAAAACATTGAACTATAGCAAAGAAGAAGACAAGCACAATCATATTTACAAGATTATCTTGGACCCTTTACACATGGCATGAGAGAAAGTTGAACACCTTTCATACGCGCTGTCTCCAATGTACTCTTGGCATCACCTGGCATGACAAAGTTCCAAATAGTGCAATCTTGGAATGTGCTGGAATTTCTAGCATATATACACTATTGAAACGGTGACATCTATGCTGGTTTGGGCATGTCATGAGGATGGCTGATGGTTGGATTCTGAAAGATCTCCTGTATGGAGAATTAGTGCAGGGAAAGCGCCAGGGGTGGGATTCTACCAGTTCGCACCTATTCGCTAGAACCGGTTGTTAACATTCTAAGCAGTTCAGAGAGCTGGTTGTTAGAAGAAATTACTGGCCTAATTCTGTAAGGAAGGCAGGAAGAAAACATTCTGGTTTTGTTTACAGAAATTGCCTCTCTGTTAACCCTTATTACATTCCTGGCAGGACTAGACTTCCTGTCTCAGGAACTTCTCTGGAGTTTTTTTCCCCCCTCCTTTGCTGGCACTTTGCTTGTGTGGAGTGACCATTCAAAGTTACAATGGCATTGAAAAAAGTGACATGAGCATTTTTCACACTTACAACTGTTGCAGCATCCCCACAGTCTTGAGAGGCCAGGCAAGGAGATGCATGCCTCGATGTGAGTGATATTGAGTTGGCCACACCCAGCCAATAACATGACCACCAAGCCATGCCCACCAACTAAGCCATGCCCACAAATATTCCACTAAACATTTGCAAAACATTTCAAGTATGGAACATACTTAATGGGGAAACGAATGAGTTTTATATAATTGTCTATGCTATTTGTACAGTATATGTATTTGATACATATTTCTGTTAGTAAAAATGCATGTGATGGCATGATACTGAGATGCAAAGTTCGGCCTTTAACTTTGGAATGCAAGTAAGTTGCCAGATTTATGTTGTGACATATTTTGTGTCATTTATCTCTCCATGTGCTCCATGCATATACTGCATATACTTTGCTTTACTTTTTAAGCACAATTCATTTTCTTTTGACAAGAAGAAAACATTTTATTTTCCTTTCAAGATTCCTGTCTTATTTCTTCTTGGACTGATTGGTTCCCTCTTTTCTTTTCTCCCAGGAGGGTCATAAAGGATCAAAGTAATTTTTCCTCATTGTTATTAACTATAATTGATTAAGTTAACATAGAAGGATAAAACAGTTTAAGTGCAGTTTATTGACTATTCATAATGAGCTGAGGTAAAAAAAAATACTCTAAGCAATAAACTATGATTTATAATCTATAATGACTGGGTTCACAAAATATGAGTCAAACTAAAATGTTTGATACGTAAATCATGTATATTCCTATCTGAATCCAGGCATTAGGTGGAATTTTTTGTATAATTGAGTCCATTCACCTTGCTGCTATTCATCCTTTTTCTTCCACATTTCCCAACATTATAGATTTCTCAAGATAGCTTTGCATCTTGAGCTGGGTCTTTATACAATATGTCCAAAATATTGTAATTTGAATACATCTATGTTTCCCTTGGCTGAAAACTCTAGATGGTATTGTTGTTATTGTTGTAGGATCTGTATGTTAGCTTT